TCCTTGACCCAGCAGGTTTGAGGGGAGGAGGCTGACCATATTTCCCTAGGTACATAAAGAGGGGGTAGGCTTAAGACTACAGTGAACACCACCAGCCTTCTTCCTACCCCGGTACCCAGACTGCCTTCCTAAGCCAGATAAAACAAGCCTGGGGCCAGCAGAGGGGTCTTGATCCATTTAAGCCCAAGGATATCTGATTACCTTTACCTCTGCCCCGCTGTGCCCCACCTTCAGTCAGTATTACAGAACTCATTGAACGATCACGGGCATCTGCGATTAACAGCAGACGGTGAAAGGGAGGGGAAACTGAGGAAGCATCTGACATTAGAGGGAGAACTGGGAAACCACCGTGGGGAAAGGACTGATAGTGCTTCAAGGCTGCCTGTACCCAGGGAGCAGGGCACAATGGGAGGGGCATGTGGAAGGGAAGGAAACTAAGAGTTTCCTTGGAAGGTATAGTCACAACGGTGAGAAATGCATGGTGGCTGGGAGAGGGAGTAGAAAGAGCAGAAAGGGGGGGGACCCAAGCTTACCCCAATTCAAGAGCTCAGAAAGGATGCGATGGTGCAAGGAGGAAGGGGCAGTGACCTAGAGGTGAGAAGAGTGTGGTAACAGACGAGGCTGAAGAGAGGGAGCCTGTGAAACTGTCACGTCAGGAAATCTGCAGGGAAGGGGCAGGGTCACGTTAGGGGGGTTAGCAGTGGTAACGGGAAAGGAGGCAAAGGCTCCAGGCACAGGGAGCGGGTGGCCCAGAACAAGGGGCAGGGAGAGCGAAGCTGCTGGGAAGGCCCAAGCAGGTGTGACTACAGAGAGGTGTGCGGAGGGCATGAGGTCTCATCTGTCCCTGGGAAGGGAGCAGGAAGGGACTGCTATAACAGAGTGGAGGGCGGCCGGTGGCTGTGGCTGGAAGAAGGGACGTGATGGTGGCAGGTGTGAGGGGAGCCGGAGAGTGTGATGAGAGCAGGCACAGCCCAGGTCTAGGAGTGGTAAGCAGAGGCCAGCTGCCCCGCCAGGCCAGGGAGCAAGGTGAGCAAGACCGAGCCCTCCAGAGGTGACCTCCGATCCAGAGGACATGATGTGGTGGGGACATGGACCAGGGGGCTGGAGCATCTGAGCAGGTCTGCTAAGTCCCTGTCCTCCGGAACCCGACAGGGCGGCAGATGCCCTTCTAAAGGCAGTGGCAGCCAGCAGTGTCGCTGAGAAGGCTGTGGAGGCAGCTCGAATGGCCAAACTGATAGCCCAGGACCTGCAACCCATGTTAGAGGCCCCAGGTGAGGCGTGGGCAGCCTGGGGAGCTGGAGGGGCTCAGGTGTGGGGAAAGGGAAGGAAGTCCCTGCAGAGGACTGGGGATGGAAAAAGCCAAGGTATGCGGGTCCAAGGGGACAAGGGTGGGGGCCAAACGCAGATGTTTGGGGAGCAGAACTGGGAATTTGTAAAATAGGGTAATAAGGACTAGGGGTCTGGGGTCTGGCTGTGAGAGGCTTTAAGCCTGGGAGGTGCTCAGATGGGGGGATAAAGCTCTAGCTTTTGCTGCCCGAGGCCAGTTAGGCCGCTCTGATCCTTAGCTATCCCTGCCGCAGGCCGCAGACCCAGGCAGGACTCGGAAGGTTCCGACACAGAACCCCTGGATGAGGACAGCCCTGGGGTATACGAGAATGGACTGACCCCCTCAGAGGGCTCCCCTGAACTGCCCAGCAGTCCTGTGTCCTCCCGCCAGCCCTGGCGACCCCCTGCCCGCCGGAGCCCACTGCCTCCTGGAGGGGACCGAGGTCCCTTCTCCAGCCCCAAAGCTTGGCCCGAGGAGTGGGGGGGCCCCGGGGAACAGGCAGAGGAACTAGCTGGCTATGAGGCCGAGGACGAGGCTGGGATGCAGGGGCCGGGGCCCAGAGACGGTTCCCCACTCCTCGGGGGCTGCAGCGACAGCTCTGGAAGTCTTCGAGAGGAGGAAGGGGAAGACGAAGAGCCCTTGCCCCCGCTGAGAACCCCAGGGGGCTTGGAGCCTGAGCCCATGGCCACACCGGTCCTGAGGGACCCGGCCTCAAGGGGTCCTGAGGCCGGGTGCCTGACAGAAGAGCTTGAGGAGCCTGCTGCAACCGAGAGGCCCGCCCAGCCGGTGAGCTGCCCTCCGTCCCCACTTTGTGGCCCCTTTTCTCCTCAAAGCCTTGCGTCTCATCCTTTCCAGACCTCTCTCTGATCCCTTCAGGGGCTCTGATTTGGACTCAGCTTCCTTCCTGCCTGCCCACTCTTGGACCATATCCCACCTAAAAAAGTAAATAAATAAAATAAAAAATAAGGAACTTGTGAGCTGCAAGCAACCTTAGAGACCACCTCCAGCTCCCTCATTTGACAGATGGGAGAACTGAGGCCCAGAGCCCTTAAAGTAATTTGCCCAAGGTTACCAATAAGGAATAGTAGAGCCAAAACATCTTTCCCTGTTCTCCTTCCATATCATTTCCAGCTCCTGGTTTCCTACTCCACCCCCACCCCCACCTCCACACTTTCTCTCTTTGGTGCCCAGAAATAAAAAAGGAAAAGCTTGTTCCCTCCCTACCCTGACTCTCCCTCCCTCTCCTGGGAAGAAGGGAAATGGGAAAGGAGGCAGAAAACCTGGAGGGGTGGAGTTTTCCCAGAAGCCTCTACCCTGATTGGACTCCAGGCCTTCTCCTGTTTCCTAGCAACCACATCCTCACCCCTTCATCCCTCTCTGCTTTACTGCAGTACGGACTGCCGCTGCCAACGTCTGCTACTAAGGCCAGGCACCTTCTGCCTGGGCCACGTGACATGCTAGTGGGCGGGGAGCGGAGGGAGGGGGAGGAAGGGCTGTTCCCGACTCGAGGGAGCCAGGGGGAAGAAGGGGCCCTGCCTGGCAGGAGGGAGGTGTTTTTTTGCAACCCAAAAAAGGTTGGAGATGCCCCTGCTCTGACCTCTGGGGAGAGGTGCCTGGGACCCTTCAGCTTTGCCACCTCTGCCAGGGCAGGAAGGTGAGACCTGTCCCTGGACATGGTCCTCAGGAACTGAGACTGCCTTCCCCCCCCCCCCATCTCTCTAGGGAGCTGCCAACCCCTTGGTGGTGGGAGCCGTGGCCCTCCTGGACCTCAGCCTGGCGTTCCTGTTCTCCCAGCTCCTCACCTGAGGCTCCTGCCCAGCCTAGTTCTGGCTTCGGTTGCTGCCTCTTCACTTCTTTGACCTGCCTTTTTCTCTTTTCCTCCACCTGGTTGTTTTTTCTCCTATCTTTCTTTCTCTTCTTCCTTCCGTTTCTTTTCTGTCCCCCTTTGGTTTTGTCTTTTGCTTTTTCTTTCCAGCTCTCCTTTCAGATTCTCTCATTTATTCTGGATCTGTCTCTGTCTTCCTCACTCTCTCCCCCACCCCACCCCACCTCTCTCTCTAGATTGTTTACATATGAAGGGCTTTTCTCGCTCAGAGTCTCTCTCTTCTCTGAGACACACAAATCTAAGTCAGACCATTGACCCGTGTCTTCCCCGCCTTTTCTTTAGACCTGAACTTCGATGAGGGTGGGGGTTTGGTGTCCTGAGGAGTCTCCTGGAAGCTGAGTGGAAAGGAAGAAGAAAATGGAGAAGGGATGACTGTATACTGGGCAAGGCACTGGCTGAGCTGCTGTGGCTCCCTGACCCAAGGGGCCTGGTGTCCCTGCGAGGCCTAGTGAAAAAGCTGGAGGAGGTACGGCCTCCATCTCTGACCTTGGAGGAGCCTATCTCACCTCCAAGCAGTGAGCTAGGTTCTTGCCTAACTCCATCCTTCCCTGAAGGAGATAAGGGAGATGAAAAGTAGAATGACTCCCTAGGATCTCCCTCTTCCTTTCCTCAACAGCCAGCCCCTCGTCCAACCCCCTAGGGTGGCATGCCTTGTCAAGAGCAATGTGTAAAGGAAAGAAACCGTCCAATGCAGTCACATCTACCCACTGATCTCTCCCACCCTCTTCTCTCCCCCTAAAAGTTTATTTGGTTGGTCTGGACTCACTTGTGGCCTTTGATTAGATTTCTAAGGGGCCTGAAGAAGACATTTCTACTGCAGAGGGTTAGAAGCGCTTGAGCTAGGACCCTACTCCCCAACTCTGGCAGTTGTGGTGTGGGGGTGGTGGGGGGAGGCATTTCTGGGGAACACAACCAGCCTAGATAACAGGAACTCACAGAGCAGCAGAAGCTGTGACAAGTTTAGTAGTCTCTAAGTGGGTTATATCCCTTCCCCCGTTACATCAGAATCTTGTGAAATGGGAAAACCACAGAAAGAGGGATCAAAGGAAGCCAATCTCTCACACACTTTCCAGGCAGGGCAGAGGTGGGAGTCAAAGCAGGGTGAGAGGTGGGTGGAGAGCTCTGTTTGAGGTTGTGGCTGATCCCTGTTAATAGCTTTCCCCTGCGGGCAGGAAGCCCTAGGAAGAGGGGGACCCCTCTGTAGGGCCCCCCGGGGATCTTTCCTCCCTCCCCTGCATGAGGCAGAGGCAAGCTGCCTGCCAACCCCCTCCCTCAAGGAATGGCCTTGCCTGGGAATGCCCACCACACATACCCTCTTCTTTTTTTCTAGTCAAACTCTGTTTACTCCTTGGCCTGCCTCCCTCCCTCCCCTCTAAACCTTTACTTCTGATTTCTATTTCATGGAATTCGGGATTGAAGTTAAACTACAACAGTGCCGCCAACACCAAGTCTTGCAGGAAAAAAAAAATACAAAGAAATTTAACAAAAAAATATATTAATAAAAAAGTTCAAAAAAGGGGGGGGACTGTCATCTCCTTTGGGGTGCGATGGTTTCAAATCCAAGCTCTCTCGAGGCTCTCTGGGTGGTGAGAATGTACAAAGAGGCCTCTTGGGGAACCCCAGGCCTGCTATGCAGTCTTGCCACCAGGACAGCTCCTTGCCCTCAACTCCAAAGCCTGAGGCCTGAGGTCAGAGGGTTCTAGACGGCTCAGCGGGGCGGCCCAGGAGGGGCGGGGTCCCGTGACGGGGGCGGGAAGAGGGAAGGACGAGAAGAAGGACCAACCCCCGTCGGGCCCGGGACCAGGAAGCGCTGGGGGGAAGAGGAGCGGAGTTGAAACAAGCCAGGTGAGGCTGTCGTTAAGGCTGGCGTCCTGGTGTGAAGCTGAGGCCGCCTGAGCTGTGACCTTGGGGAGGAATCCCGCGGAAGAGGTAGCGCAGGGCCCTGAAAGGAAAGCAATGGCCGAGCTAGGGATGGGAAACCAGGTGGGACCGGAGGATTGGGCGGGGGGGAGAGGGGTGGAATAGGCGGGGTTCTGGCGCATGCTCCGTCTGAATGGGCGCGAGGTGGGGCGGAGACGCATGCGTAGTGGGGATCTCCTCCCGAGGTGAGGAGCGGGCGGAATGTGGTAAACCCAGGTGGGCAAAGGTAAATGTGGGCTCAGCTTTAGGATAGCTGCAGGACCCGGACCTTCAGGATCGTGGCACAGAGCGAGTCTGGGCTGGAAGGTCAGGTACTCCCGGCCCGAGAGCTTCAAAGCCCTCTCCATTTCCGGGCTCTGCCCCTTCAGGATGGTGGTGTCTTCGCTGAAGCTCCAAGATCTAATCGAGGAAATTCGTGGGGCCAAGACGCAGGCCCAGGAGCGGGAGGTGATCCAGAAGGAGTGCGCCCACATCCGCGCCTCCTTCCGCGATGGGGACCCTCTGCACAGGCACCGCCAGCTGGCCAAACTGCTCTACGTCCACATGTTGGGCTACCCCGCCCACTTTGGACAGGTACTGGGCAGTGATGCCTCCCTTCTGAGTTTGATGAGGAAGGCTAATGGGGCAGGGTCTTGGACACCTTCACCTGCTTGTGCTCTGATTTTTTTATTCTCCGAAGTTTCTGAGCCCTCCCTCACAGCATGCACTGCCTACCTCCTTCCCTATTACAACCCCTGTAGGTCATAAGCTGGACTGAACCCTTCATTCTCTGGCCAGCCCCATTCAAGCCACCTCCTTTTCTCTCCCACCTCCTCGACTCCTGGTTCCTTGAAACTACCCACTGACTTTGAATTTCCTAAGCCTTTTCCTTTGTTGAAGGGAGGATGATGGGAAATGGTGCTACCATAAATTAATCTGGTGGTAAAGAAGATAGAAAAGGGATGTTAGTGCCTTGAGTTTCACCCCTGCCCCTTCCTGGTCTGCCCCCTTCCCTGTAGATGGAGTGCCTGAAACTGATCGCCTCCCCCAGATTCACAGACAAGAGGGTGGGCTACCTGGGGGCCATGCTTCTACTGGATGAGAGGCAGGATGCCCACCTGCTCATTACCAACAGCATCAAGAAGTGAGAGGGTTCTGGGAAGCACTTGGAATCAGGGAGATGGGAGAGTGGGAAACTGGGAAGTCCCAGGGGGCTGCCTGATGTAGGTACTGGGAAGGATGGATTTCTCAGAGCTTGACTGACCACCCTCCCGACTCTGCAGTGACCTGAGCCAGGGGATTCAGGCAGTACAAGGCCTGGCCCTGTGCACTCTGAGCACTGTGGGCTCTGCTGAGATGTGCCGGGACTTGGCCACTGAGGTGGAGAAACTGCTCCTGCAACCCGGCTCCTATGTGCGCAAGAAGGTGAGATGGCAGGACTCTAGGCTCTTGCCCCTCCCCCCCGAAACTGTCCTGTTTGCCACATGTTAAAGGTGGGAGGTCCATCCTGGCAGACTCCTGCCCCTTTTTGAGCCCCCTGATCTCTGCAGGCTGTTCTGACTGCAGTGCACATGATCCGGAAGGTCCCCGAGCTCTCCAACATTTTCCTCCCACCCTGTGCCCAACTGCTTCATGAACGCCACCACGGTAAGGCCACAGGGCTCTCCATCCCCTGCCTTACCTCTGGCTATGGACAGAAGTCAAAAATAGGATGGGAATACCAGCCACTAGGAGCAGGGTAGCATGTGAACATGAACACACACACGCAGTAGACTCTCCTGTGCCCCTGGCCCACCATTAACTGCCCCCCCCCCGACACCAGGCATCCTGCTGGGCACCGTCACGCTGATCACGGAGCTCTGTGAACGAAGCCCTGCAGCCCTCAAGCACTTTCGAAAGGTGGGCTGGTGAAAGGGGCAGGCCCTGGGCCAGGAAAAGAGGGGCCGTGGGGTTGGAATGGGTCTGAAGGTTGAGAGGATTAGGAAGAATGCCCAGTAAGGCTGTGCCCTCCCTCCAGGTGGTTCCCCAGCTGGTGCAGATCCTCCAGACTCTGGTGACGACGGGATACTCCGTAGAACACAGTATATCTGGAGTCAGCGACCCCTTTCTGCAGGTGGGCTGACCCTGTCCTGCTGTATCCCTGGAACAGAGAGCTTAGCAGTAAGCCCATGGCTAGCGGCCACCTCCCAGAGAACACTTTGGGCCAGTGAGTGTCTTAGGCAGGAGGGTGGCAGGCACAGGATCACACAGGTCATCCCAAGACCAGTGCGGGAAGCGGGGGATACCTAAAGGTCAGAAATCCAGTTTGGTAACAACAACAACAAAAAGCCTGTCTCCAAATCCCCTGGCCTCACAATGCCTCTGATCTCCCAGGACCCAAGGGACCTGTGTGGGGGGAGGGGGAGGGAAGCTCTAGGAAACCAGCCAGGCCCCTCACAATACTTTCTTCGGTGCTGGGTTTTTCTCTTCAACCCAACTCCTTACCCTTTGAACCCCTCCACCTTTCAATTTTTAACCCATCTTAGGTCCAGATACTTCGTCTGCTTCGGATTCTGGGCCGGAACCATGAAGAAAGCAGTGAGGTCATGAATGACTTGCTGGCCCAGGTGGGAGGCTGGAGAGTGGGCACTGGTTAGGTGTGTGGCTCTGAGATCCTACCAGCCCCAGGCACCCCTCACATGACCACCCACCCCACGGTGGCCGTATAATCACGTCTCCGTTTCCCGCTAGACTGTGATCTCCATGAGGACAGGGACACAGTCTGTCTCAGTGTGGTAGCCCCTGGCACATCGTGGGGGCTTGGGGAACTTTGTTAGATGATGAAGGGATGATGTGGTGGGTACCTTCCAGAGACCTGAGGAGAGGACAGAGCCCCTTCTAGTTGCATCTTCTCTCCCATCCACTCAGGTGGCCACTAACACAGATACCAGCCGAAATGCAGGCAATGCAGTCCTGTTTGAGACAGTGCTGACCATCATGGACATCCGCTCTGCAGCCGGCCTGCGGGTATCATCCCATATGCCTCTCCCACTGCGGCCCCACCCACCAACCCCAGCCAGGCAGACAGGTCCTATTCACTGGTTTCTCCTCCCCACCCATCATCCTGTGCCCTGCAGCCGGCACTCCTTAATGAGCACGTTGCTCGTTCCCTGACTGTCCTCAACCTTTGGCTCCCGTAGGTTCTGGCTGTCAACATTCTTGGCCGCTTTCTGCTCAACAACGACAAGAACATTAGGTAATCATCCCAGGTGTCTGGCTGGGTTGTGCCACTGAGCCCCTGGTCCTTGGCCCCCCTCCTTCCAGCGTCTCTTGATTTACCTGCCTCTTATTCCAGGACTAGGACGGGATGGGGCAGGGAGGGGGCTGAGGACCACGGTGTGATAGGTCCTCCCCTACTCTGGCCAGGTATGTAGCCCTGACGTCATTGCTGCGTATGGTGCAGTCCGATCACAGTGCTGTGCAGCGGCACCGGCCCACTGTGGTGGAGTGTCTGCGGGAACCCGACGCCTCTCTTAGCCGGTGAGGAGGACAGAAGAACAAGAAGGCAGGGCAGAGGGCCCAGCGCCTGGTAGCCAAGACCTGGACCGGGTCAGAGCAGCTGAAGTAGAGGGATTAAGGAAACAGGTGCCTGGAGAAGGAAGGGCCTGAGGCCTAGCTCAGGGTGACCTGGCTACCCTGTATTGACGACGTCTTTCTCCTGCCAGGCGGGCCCTGGAACTGAGTCTGGCTCTGGTGAATAGCTCCAATGTGCGAGCCATGACACAAGAGCTGCAGAGCTTTCTGGAATCCTGCCTCCCTGATCTACGGGCCGACTGTGCCTCAGGCATCCTGCTGGCAGCAGAGAGGTGAGGTGACAGGTGCCCAGAAGGCAGAGACGGTAGAATCTGGGGAGGGTCAGTACCAGGGCTGAAGAGGCATATGTTCCCTAGGTTTGCCCCAACCAAGCGCTGGCACATAGACACCATCCTGCGTGTGCTGACAACGGTGAGGCAGTTACTGATCTAAGAGAGCTGGGAGGGAGTGGGCAGGGTTCATCACCCTGAACCCTTGGCCACATTCACCCCCTCCAGGCAGGCACCCATGTACGGGATGATGCGGTGGCCAACCTGACCCAGCTGATTGGGGGTGCTCAGGAGCTACACGCCTACTCTGTGCGCCGCCTCTACAGCGCCCTGGCAGAGGACATCTCCCAAGTACTGTTCCCACCACCAGACCCAGGGCTGCCCAAGCCTCCCAGCCCTTCCTGGGCCACCTACTCCCTATACCTGATGCCCCACTGTTTTTCCCTGGAGGTCACAGCTACCTGTTTAATGGAGACACTCAAGGACAGAGCCCTGTTTTTAGTTAAAAACCTGGACTTCTGTCCTGGCTCTAGTACCTACTGGCTCTGTAACTCCAGATGACTAATTTAAGTCTCCTTCCGCCCAGTGTACTCAGCTCTCTACCCTGTCCGCCTCCCAGAGCTGTCTTGACGATCAAATTGAGATAGAGCTCTTTCTTTGTGTATCAGGTTTTTACTACCTTGAATGCTGAGTGGATTAACAGAAGCCAGCCACTATCTATCTACCGTCTTTTTTCCGTATTACTTAAGTAGGGTGGGCAGAAACCACATATACCTTCCTCAAGGCAGGGACCCTCCTGCTTGGTTCTCACCCAGCTCCTTTTGGTGGGGCCATGTAGTTCTGACGCTTGGCCACCAGAGGGCAGAAGACATCCAGGAGCCAGGACAGAGCTGGCAGGGGTGGGGGGACGGACAAACTTACAAAACTGTGCAAGAGCCTTCCCTTTCCCCACCTCTCCAAACCCCACAATCTCTGCACTGCACAAAGGGATGTCACAGGGCATGGAAGTGGGGAGGGAACCCAGAACCTGGCCTGGCATCTTTCTTGTCCCATGCAGCAACCACTGGTGCAAGTGGCAGCCTGGTGCATTGGAGAATATGGGGACCTCCTGCTGGAGGGGGGCTGTGAGGAAACCGAGCCCCTTCAGGTGAGACCGACCTCGGGAGTACACTGAGGAGGGCCTCAGCGGGAGAGGCAAGATGCCCCACAGTTACTGCCTGTGTCCCCGCAAAGGTGGAGGAAGAGAAGGTGTTGGCACTCCTGGAAAAGGTGCTGCAGTCCCACATGTCCCTACCGGCCACCCGAGGATATGCCCTGACAGCCCTCATGAAGCTCAGCACCCGGCTCCGTGGGGACAACAAGTAAGAAAGGGTCCCGGCCCCTCTTCTTGGTGCCTCCGGTGACAGATGTCCCTTCACCGTGCCCACCAGTTTCGGGGTTTCTCTCCGGGCACACACCCCCAAGTCCCCCAGTCCTTAGGTTCTTCCTCCTGAGCCAGGTGTTGTGGGTACCCCCCTGCTCTGTGCGGCCTTTCCTTTCCGTGCCACATCCTGGAGTTGCAGGGCAGGCTGCCCTCCCACTCACACGCCACCCTGTGGCCCAGCCGCATCCGCCAGGTGGTGTCCATCTACGGGAGCTGCGTGGACGTGGAGCTGCAGCAGCGGGCCGTGGAGTACAACACGCTCTTCCGGAAGTACGACCACATGAGGTGCGACTGTCACTGTGCCGCAGCGTAGGACCCAGACCCCTGCCCTGTGCCCACGTGGCCTCTCCCCAGTGCCCCTTTCTGGGTACAAGGGTCTCATCCTCCCCTTCGTCCTTCCTCCTCCACAGTCAGAGCCTCCCACCCGTAGTTGACTGTAGCCAGGGTGGCTCCCAGCCCTCCTCGCTCACCGAAAGCCAGCAACAGTGTGCCGGTCTTAGGACATCAGAAAGGCACTCTGACCCACCGTGTGCCCAGGGTTCCGCATGGTCTTAGCCATCCTCCCACATGCTTCTTATGAAAAGCCCGGGGTCCACCCAGAGGGACACACCTGTGTTCCATCCTCTCAGGGCTGCCATCCTAGAAAAGATGCCTCTTGTGGAGCGAGGTGGCACTCCGGATGAGGAAGCAAAGGAGAGCAAAGAGGCCCAGCTTTCGGAAGCAGCCCTTGTCCCCACAGAGCCCCAGGTGAGAAGGCCGGAAGCCCCCGAGGGAAGAGGACTTGGTCTGCCTTCCACGCCTAGCCCTGCTCCTTCTGCCCTTTCCCCCAGGCCTCCAAGCTCTTGGATCTGTTAGATCTCCTGGATGGCACTTTTGAGGCTGCCCAGCCCCCACCTGCTCTGGAACCCTCCCCAGGAGGCACTTTAGTACACCTCCTCGACCTGCCCTGTGCGTCTCCAGCCCCAGGTAGGCCTCAACAAAGGGGAGACGGGAGACGTCTTAAGAAAAGGAGGGGTGGAAATGTGCTGCTTCTCCTTCTTTGCCAAGGACTGCGGTCTACATGCCCTCTTCCGTGCTGTGAGTCTCCCATCACATCCCCATCTTGATAAAAGGGTTCATTAGCTTGTGCCGGTTCCCTCCTGGATACCCCTCAATGCCTTCCCTTTGTTCCAGACTTCGTATCCTGGCCTCTGGGGCCCAGCTTCCTCCCAGCCCATCTCCTATACTTTCCCACTCCCTGCTCCACTGGCCCCCCTCAGTTCCTCAGACCATCTCACCTGAAACCCTTGGTAATCTGTGCTCCTTTTACATGGAATGTTCTGTTTTGTTTTGTTTTGTTTTAGATTTTATTTATTTGAGGGAGACAGAGAACATGAGCAGGGTGAGGGGCAGAGGGAGAAGCAGACTTCCCCACTGAGCAGGGAGCCCGACTTGGGGCTCGATCCCAGGACCCTGGGATCATGACCTGAGCCGAAGGCAGACGCTCCACCAACTGAGCCACCCAGGCGCCCCTCCGTGGAATGTTCTTGCCCAGCACATCAGATGACTGGCTCATTATCATTCTTCAGGCCTCAGCTAAAATGTCAGATGCCTTCCCCTACCATTCCTATTTAAGTTATTCCTCCCAGTTACTCTGACATAGTTTATTTTCTTCATAGCACCTAGTAGTCTGTGATTATCTTGGTGGTTTTCTTGTTTATTGTTTTCTCTGCCCATTAGACTATAAGCTCAGAATAGGGACTTCATCTTCTTGTCCACTTTGTCACTAGCATCTCAAGCACTGCCCTGCACCCAGTGGGCGCTCCCTTAATTTCTGTTGAATGAATGAAGAACTTGTTATCTTCCCCATACATTGAGCTGCTTCCCTCTCCATACTCCAGCTTCCATCCCAGATCTCAGAGTGTTTGAGCGTGAAGGACTGCAGCTGAATCTGTCTTTTGTTCGACCCCCTGGAACCCCTGCTTTGCTCTTAATCACGGTCACTGCTGTCAACACCTCAGGGGCTGATGTCACCCACTTTGTCTGTCAGGCTGCTGTGCCCAAGGTTTGTAGAAGACCAGGGTGTGAGGTGGCCTGGGCACTCCAGGAGAAAGGCTAAGTAGAGGAGGTGGGTGGAAGAATGAGACAGGAAGGGAATGATGTGCAGAGATAAGCACTTGGGGTGTTATGGGAAGAGGTTGTGAAACTGTTGGGTGTGGAGGGGTTGCCTGAGCCCAGCTAGTTGCCTTACTGTGCTCTGCCCAACCTCTTGTGTTCAGAGTTTCCATCTGCAGCTACAGGCCCCCAGTGGGGACACAGTTCCAGCTCAGGGTGGCCTTCCAGTGACCCAGCTCCTCAGAATCCTCAATCCTAACAAGGTGAGCTCAGGAGCACCCACCCCCTGTTGATAAGGCCCAGGGACAGAAATCACAGGAGCTAACCCTGGTCTCTACTCTCCTATTCCTAGGCCCCCTTGAGGCTAAAGCTGCGCCTCACCTACAACCACTTTGGCCAGTCGGTGCAGGAGATCTTTGAGGTGAACAACTTGCCCATGGAGACGTGGCAGTAACTCAGCCTCCACTCAGTCTGAAATCCTCCTGTATCCCAAACTCCCCAGGGTCTCGGCCACTTGGAGCCTGTACCTGACGACTACCAGCAGGTGGCTCTCTGGGCCTACGTTTGCCTCTGCAAAAGAGGCGGGGGGGGGGGGGGGGTGTCTCCACCCCCCATAAATAATAAAAGCCCAATCAAGCCTGAGGGGGAAAACCATATTTGGGTATATTTGAGATAGAAAACGTTTACAAATCATAGCAAGGGAAGGTTTTTTTTTTTTAATTTTATTGTTTATTTGAGAGAACGAAAGCAAGAGAGATCACAGAGGGAGAGGGAGAAGCAGACACTCCACTGAGCAGGGAGCCCGACGCGGGGCTCCATCCCAGGAGCCTGGATCGTGACCCGAGCCGAAGGCAGACACCTAACCAACTGAGCCACCGCGGCGCCCTGGGAAGAGTCTTCTTATCCGGGATGTCTGTATCTTCCCTTGAGCCTTAGGAACTTGTTTCAACAAAGAAGGGCTCTTTTTATCCTCTCCAGGTTGGGGAGCAGATTTGCCCCTAAACCTCCACAGGAGGCACTCTACCATCTGGGCCAGAGTAGGGCACAGTAGCAAAGTGAAACCAGAATTTCCAGATGTCTAAAAGGGATTCCCACCCACTTCCCCAACCTGCTGCTATTCCCCACACCCCAAGGCAGGGAAGTCCCTGCTGCCTCCCCTCATCTCTAACTCAGCTGTCAGGCGGTTTAGGAGGCGCTGGCAGAATCAATGGCATCGACCAAGGGAGGGGGGGTGGCAAGGGATTTTCCTGTGCTTAACTACTGATCACGGCTAAGTGGAAATCCTATAAACACGAGCGGAAATCAATGGAGGCTGCTTAGCGGCCAGGGGAGAGGGGCGGCCCACAGATTGCATCTGACGGATGAGGGAGGGGGCAGCCAGGGAGGGCTCAAGGAAGGATAGCTGGGGGTAGGGTGAAAGAACAGGCAGGGCTGGAGAGAGAGGAGTCACTGTGGGAAGGAGGCCAGGGGAAGAGGCACAGTGTGCTCAGGAGGGAACCCTGTTAGACCCAGAGTTCTCTTTGCTGTTGAGGAAGTGACACCCTAGCCCAAGCTGCTGTCTGGAGCTTTAGTCCCCTGTGGCCTCTCTCTGGGGCTGAATACTTCTAGCAGGTGCTGGTAGTCCTGAGGCCGGAAGCGCTGTAGGTGCATGATCACCTTGGCAGGCGCTCTCTCCTGCGCCAGCACACCTGCAGGCCAAAGAAGAAATGAGGAGAGAAGCAGAGCTGTAAATGCTTTGACTGTGCTCCCTGCCCTCATAGCCAGACCCCAAAGTTGATTCCAAGGCAGCACTGGGATTCTGAATACCATCCAACCAGTTTCTGTAACCCACCAGCGCACACCCTGATTGCCCTGTGCCAGTGGGGCCTACAAGAGCCACGTCGGGTAGGAGTGAGGCTGGGAAGCCAAGCATGAGCCTCTCCTCCAGCAAGGAGAAATGGTGAAGAGGCGCTCAGGTGCCATGTAGACAGAGGGTGCCTCCATATGCACTCTTTTCAGTTACTGCTCGTGTCCCCCAGTCAAGATTAAAGCCCATGTAGGCAGGCCAAAGCTCATTAGGTTGATGATAAAGCACATGCAGAGATGCACACAGAGAAACAGGGATAGAGAAAGGAGAGAAGCAGCAACAACCATGGGGTGGGATTCAGATAGAATTCTAGCCTCTACGTGGTATGGAGCCGTGATAAGTCAGTGTCTTATTGTTAGAGCCTGGCAGCATGCTGGGCATATAGCAGGAAACTCAGTGTATCTTTGCTGAGAAAGCAAGAGCAAGAGCAGCATTCTGCCACTTTTAAGTCCTCATGGGATGCACAATCCCGTACTGCTGTGGATGAACTGTCTACAGAAAAATCTGCCATGACTTGTCCTGTTGTCTGTCACATAAATACAGTGTTCTTGCCTTTTACTCAAAGCCAACAGGACAAATGAAATGAGGATCTAGAGAGTTGTAAAAATAAGAGGACAGGATTTGGGAGAAGGAAGGATGGATGGAAGGATTCAAGCAGAGAACTGACGCAAACTTGGAGCGGCTGGAGGTGTGAGAACTAAATGAGGCAAGGACTAGGGGAGACAAGGAAGGATCCTATCCAGTTAGGCAGCTTCTGTAAAAGCAAACTGGGCCCTCCAAAAAATTGCCAAGACAATCCCCGTTACAGAAATAACGCCAAGACCCTCCCCTCTAGCTGGTTCAGTGGGTACATCCCAAAGAGCGGTAGGGAAGGCAAGGAAAGCACAGAGGGGCCTGTCTCCCTCACCGAGCATGCTGCTGAGGCTGTTGATCTTCTCTAGGGCAGCCGGGACCTCAGCCTTCTCGTGCACCAGGGCTTCTACCTCACCCACAGCGTAGCCGAAGTCGGCTGTATCCAGGTCCACCCTGAGCAGAGGCTCCTCTTCATCAGCTCCGGATAGCACCAGCTTCCAGGCACTACGCTTAGTCACAAAACTAGCTACTTCCTGCAGCCCCAGTGGGCCCAGCACAACAGCCACACTTCCAGCCCCCAGGATGTCAGCCCCCAGCACCTCACAGAGCTGGGCCACAATTGCAGGCTCAACTGTGAGTTCCACATACTCAGTGTGAGGTCCTGAGACCACTGCCACGCCCGGATATTTGAGCTCCCATCCACTACCCTCTCGCTGTCGCAGCCAGTGGTCAGCCCGCATGAGGCTCAGCTCAGGGGTATCATAGTAGCTGTCCCGGAAGGTGACCCGGTGCTCCAGGGTGCCCCCCAACTCCTGCAGCCGCTTCTGTGTGTCAGGGCCAGGAACGAACTTCCGCTCCACCTCAATCAAGGCCTGGGCCATGCTACCTGCAATCACTAAATCAATAAACATTTGCTGAGCTCCCAAGGGTGCTCAGCCTTGCAGGGTCACAATTCGGCAAACCGCCCCCACCCAAGAAGAATTTGAGGCACACGCTGTCACCGAGCTCTGTGTTGGGGCTACAGCTCTTTCTCCCTGCCTCAGTGATGGATGGCCCCCGTCTGGCTCTGGTATCTTAAGGTTCTGCAACGGTGACAGGTATCCAGGTAATCCCTTACACCCTTGATGATGTACTCAATCCAAAGGGTTCCCTAGAAAACTGTAGTGGGTGTCCTCCCTTCAACACTCGCCCTCTATACCTAGCTACCCCAGGTGGCCAGTGGCTCACTTCGCGCAACGACCCCGCCCTTCGCCACAGCACCGGCCCGGCCCGCGGAGCCTCGGGTCTCACCTCAAAGCCCGAGGGTCTCCCACTCGCGGTACCTGGAGATCGGCGAGGGGAGCCTACGCCACGCCCGCGAGGAATGCCGGGAGCAGTCCCTGGCCTTGGACCTCGGCCCGGATCTCTGTGAACCTGGCGGGTCCCAGCACGAGCGGCCATATTAGGCCCAATGTGGCGGTGCCGAGGACGGGCCAGGGATCGAGAGGCCCGCTACGTGATGGGGGTCCGCGACCTCAGGGGTGGGCCGGGAGCGCAGAAGTCCCCCGGCGCTCTGCTCCTCCTGCCTGACCCCTGCCGGCTCCCGGGGGTCGGCCCGGGTCTCAGGCCTCAGGCTGAGCCTGACACCTTGGGGCCCGGGTGCATGATGGGAGGTGTAGTTCCAAAGGGAGATTTTGCTTTCTCGCTCCACCCGTCGCTATGGTGACAGGAAAGCTGCGGTTACTGCCCGCGGGCCGCAACCTAAAGTTGAGCAGGGGCGGTGCGGACGGCCTGATGCAAGAAGCCGAAGCCCAGTCGGGTCTCCAAGTTCTTCACTTCCTAGTCAAATAGTCCTGAAATCCAAGCCACTTAGACGCTGTCCAAGAGATATTTTATTGACTATTATGGCGGCCCACAAAATAGAAGCGAGTGGTAATGCGCTGCAAAGGGGGATAACTAAGACCAGTTTAACTACTCAGGAGTTTTAGAGGGGATAATACACCCTGCAATGAGTGTTTAGGGTAAGGTTGAAAACTTTCAGAGAAGGAACGGTGTTTTGGATAGGAACAAAAGACACGACAGGATTTCAACAGACACCCAGATGGAGACAGGAACAGCATGAGCAAAGACCAAGAAGCTGGAGAGCACCTGGCCAGTGTATAAGAAGATGAAGCTAGAAATACAGTTGAAGGGCAGGGTGGAAGTGGCCTTGAGTGCCAGCCTGAGGAATTTGTCACTGAGTTGCCAGTGGCCCCTGAGCAGGCTTGGTCTGGAGTGGGAGAAACTCTCATGTTTGCTTAAAATACAGGAAGATGTGGGGGTGGCCCTTTGACTGCTTTGGGAGATAAAATAAAGAAGAGCTCCTTCTTAATCTCTCTGAGGGCTATGATTACCTGGAGACTGTGTGTCTGACCCTCTGGGTGAGGTAGCTTGCTGAGGAACAGTGGCTCTTTTCAACTCCTATGATAGGTGAGAAGTGCCAGGTTCTTAACATCTGTCATCTTCCCAGTATGTTTCTGGAAACAAATGACCTGTGGGAAGTACTGTGGAGAGGACACTGATTTATAGACATAGCATCTTGAACTTGGCATGTCTTGAATGCATCTCTCTTCCACTCCATAACAGGCACCAGTAGTCAGGGAGGGGAGGGCCCCCATCCCCTAGCTCCAATCACTGGCCTAATTTTCATCCATCCTTCGATTTTCAGTTTTCCTCCCTGGGGAAAAAGACCTCTTCCCCTGAATTATAAGGTCTTCTTCCCTGAGTTATAAGGTCCAATTCAGTGGGGCAGAGGGCAGACTCAGGAACCAGACAGACCTGGGGTTGACTACCAGCTTTGATTTCCAGGTGTTTGGTCTTGGGCAGGCTACTTCACCTCCCCAAACCTTTCATCTCTCCTTGGTAAGATGTGGACTGCCACAGTGATGGGTGGGGATTCAGTGATAAACGGTCACATCATAGAGCCTCAAAATGTTAGTTTCTTTCTCTTTCCTCTTTTCCTATAAACTCCAAGGGTCTGTCTGTCTTTCTTTCTTTCTTTTACTTTTAAGAGAAGTAGGCTACAGCAGCTATTGTGAGCTCTGGAGTCAGACCATCGAGGTTTGAAACCTGGCACTGTCACTTACTGGCCATGTGACTTTGGGCCACGTAACTTCTTTGTGGCCTAGTTTCGCTCAACTGTAAAATGGGACTAGTTGTGAGGATTAAGCAAGTTAATGTACATAAAAGTGCTTGCTTGGAACTGTTCTGTGCACTCAATAGATCTCTACAGTCATTATTAGAATATAAGAGAGCTTATGACCTGAAGATGAGGACCAGGAGCCAGAACCTCCCTTTCCTGACCCAACTCTGGGTGGAGGGGACAAACGCTCTCGGAGACTTCATAGTAACTGCTGTGGAAGAGAAGGTTCTAGTACCCCATTGGAAAGGTGGGGGACTGGTAAGGCAGGAAGAAGGGAGTGGAGAAGAAAGATAGGCCTGGGGAGGCTCTGGGAAGCTGGTAGAAGCCCAGGCTTACCCTAGAGCCGATTTAAAACAACAAAACACATGTATGGTTTCTGTAGGCAGGAGGGAGAGGAGAACACGGCAAGTAGTTTAAAGGCGCCTGCCACCTTGGCAAGCACTGGCTTGGACCCAGTACCACAGTCGAGCAAGGTGGCTCCGCCCGCTGGCTCGCCGGCCTTGGGGCCTCGGTCCCGCGCGCGGACGCAGCGCTTGCGGGCAGGCGGGTGGGAGCAGGGACGGACGGACTACAACTCCCGGCACTCACCGCGGCGGGCGGGACGCTGCACCTGCTCAGTGGGGCCGCCCCGGGCGCCTGGGTATTGATTATTCCATTGTGTGGGACGCCTCGGCTCCAGCCAGTGAATGAGGCGGAGGAGTGAGGGCGAGGAGGAGGAGGAGGAGGGCGAGGAGGAGGAGGAGGAGGGCGAGGAGGAGGAGGCAGGGAGAGAGCGAGTGCCCAGGGTGAATCAATGGAAACCCCCTCACGAAGCCGGGAAAACACTTCAGCCGCAGCCAAATAGCATTGATTATTTTCCTTCACTTCCCTCACCGCCGTGAATTTATTTATTTATTTTTTCCACCTCCGTCCCTGACGCCCCGGAGTGAGCGCTGGAGGGAGGGAGGAGGAGGGGAAAAAAAAAAAGGAATCAACACATCGGAGAAGTCCCTTCCAAGAGCCGCCCCCTCCCCTCCCCGCCTCGCGCTGCTCGGCGGCCGCGGTTCGACTCCCGTCCCTGCTTCCAGCTGAGGTGTAAGTGCATCGATTTCCGATGCTGCTGGGTTGGTTTTTTTTCTCCTCTCCCTCTCTCTCTTCTTCCTTTCCTTGCTCTTTGGAAGCTGGAGACGGAGGGGAGAGGAGGCGCTCGGAGACTGCCGCTGGAGGGCACGGCGAGGGACGGGAAGGGGCTGGGGGAGGGGACACGGACGGACGGACAGACAGACGGAGAGCCTGAGGAGAAGGAGGGGCAGCGGTGGGGGGGAGGGGTGTGCGAGGGAGGATGGGGTGGGGGAGAGAGATGCAGGGGTGGAGGGAGAGACGAAGAAGGGAAAAGGCATCGAGGCTGGACCAGGAGCCAGCCGGACAGACGGAGGGTAACGAGAGCCTAGACGGACCGCGCCGAGCTGTGCGGGGAGCGGGGGTCCCGGAGGGAAGGGGAGGCCGGGTGAGTGCGGGCTCGGAGCTGTCAGCCCGGAGGGGCCTGGGTCTCGGCTGCCCCCCGCCGGCTGCGGGATCGGAAACCGCGGCAGGCGGGCGGGCTGACGGATGGGCTAGCGTGCTGGGGGCGAGGGTGGGTGGGAGGGGACGTGGATACTCTTAATCTTCGATCTTCGTTTTTGCCTGAAGTTGAGCTTTTTTTTTTTTTTCTGGAAAGGTGCGAGTAGTGAGGGGAGGCCACTGCTCCACTCAAGGTGAAGTGTGTCTCTCCTGGCCCCCCAACTCTCCATCTGCTCTGCTCTTGTCTGCCCCCCTCTCAGAGTAGCCCTATCATTATTGAGCACTCGACCACGCGTGGTCTAGATGTGCCTGTAGCCCCGCTGATCTGTGTCCATGCGTCCCTGCCTCTTGATTTTGCCATTCTTCCCCCTCGTTCATTCTCTCCAGCCATCCATCTCTGGGTCTGTGTGTCACTGTCTCTGCATGTGACTCTTCCTATCCGAGTGATCCTCTCCCTGTGTGTCCCTGTCACTAGGTGTCACGCCTTGGCTGCCTGACTGGTCTAGGACTCCATGCCCTCTTCTTTGGAGTCCTTATGATATCCCTGGCCTTTTCAGGCTACTTTTTTCATGCTTATCAGTCATGATTGTGGCAGTCACTGGTTAGGGGCCTGGAAAGAGTCTGAGGGATGGGGCAGATGTGTCACCCTGAAGGACTCAGGTACCCCTTCAGCACAGCCAGGACAGCATCCTCTTGCACCTTCACCCAGGAAGCTTTGGAACTTCTAGCATTGTTGACTGTCTCCTTTGCCATGTGCCTGTCTCCCCCACCAGAACCTCTGGTCTCCTGTGTGTCATCTGCCTCTCCAGGAGCTTCCCACCACAAACCTCTTCCTTGCTGACTTGATTTCCTCCCTTCCCTCATTTTGCCATTGTATTTTTTTTTATTTCCCCATTTTGTTTCACCCTTTTTGCATTCCTGTCTCCCATGATCTCCCTTGCCTGTTCTTTACCTTTGTTCCCATAACATGCCCTCTGCCTACCTTTTCTCCTTGGTCACCCTAATTTCCTTTTATCCCTTATCCTCTCACCCAGCATTTTAACCTCGGCAGCAGAAGGTACCCGAGAGCAAGGGGCTGGGAGAGGTGGGGAGTATGGTTTGTGAAGGCACATAAACAGGCCAAGAAATCAATTTAATGGGCTTCCAGGGGCATATAACCCCTTCATTGGTCAGGGCCATTATGTCCATTAACTGTCAACTTTGATTTTGTAAGGGGACATTCTCTAGGACTCTGAGCTCCACCGTGCTTGGTTGCCTCTCATCCTTCAGTTCATTCTAGATATCAGTGGCTTTTTCTTCACTTTCTAGCTCATCTTCTTCCTGGGCCCCTGTTATTATCATATTTGGATTCAGCATGATCCTTTACGAGGCTGTTTTCATTCATATGACAGAAGCTACCTTATACAAGAGGCCAGGTTCATTCAGCCTAAAGAATGGGAAAGGTGGATAAAGAGTCAGGAGAGTTTACCTTGTTTTAAGCCCATCATTGTTTTCCAGCCCTTGGAGCTTGGAAGGGTAAGAGAAGGAGGTAGATAGGGGCAGAAGATGGAAGATTTCAGAGGTGAACAGTGTTCCAGAAAGGAAGGAGAGGCTGGGTACAATAAATGTGTGGGGTAGAGAAATGCACGACATGAGGAATGTGCAAAAGGAAGGGAAGAAAATCCACGCGGAATGGGGGCAGGGAAGGAACTGAGGGGTGATTAATGAAAAATTGGGAGAATGAAATAAAGCACGAGTTCA